CGTGCGTATTCAGTGGGATCGCCACGGAGCTACTTGGGAGGAAGAGTCCGACATTCACGCTCGTTTCCCAGATTTTCAGTTTTAATGTACATATTTCTTTATCCTATGTACACAGTTCATGTATATCAGCTATGTTTTGAATTTCCGAGGACGGAAATTTTGTAAGGAGGGAGGATTGTAATATCCCGATATTTTATCGGTATAAATTACGTTTTAGTTCCGATATAATAACGTTATCGATTATTATTTTCGGAATTAGTTAAGTTCAGTCGAGATTACCGAAATTTATTTTGACGTACCGTTTACGTTCGGAATAATTTTGGTAATTAAGTATTATGTTTAATTAATAATTAAACATAAAGTTTAGTGATTAATTATTGATTAATAATAATCAATGTCCAAAGCCGTGGAGAATTGTAGCAAATTAATTACAATCAAAGCATTTGGCCGTGGACTTAAGAAAATTTCCCAAATATTGGAGCATAATGCCGTGGAAATATTTAAGTACATGGTACCTATAGTATGCAAGTCCTTCATACTTAAGGAAGTTCATTTCCTCCCCTAAATTGCTAGGCAACGTGGCATGTTTAGGAGGTGCTTTGTCACCTATAATCCCTCTTAATGGTTAGCAAATGGCTAGAGTAACAATGGCCACGCCTCTCACACGTCACTCATCCCTCTCTACGGCTTGGAGTATAAATTGAAGATTTTGGGACGAAATTTTCCTCATTTCCCTTAAGAAGTTTGAGCAGCATATCTCCCCTTCATATTACCCTTCAGCAGCACTTGCTAGTTAAGTAATTTCCTTTAAAGTTTTTCATCAAATCACACGGCAAAGCTAGGCATTGCACGGCGTACTTGTGAAGGCAAGAAGCACATCATATTTTCCGATTCCGTCGACCGATCAGAGAGGTAATGTTCCCTTCAGCTATAGTTCATGTTAGTAAGGATGATTTAAGGCTAAGGGTTCGAGTAATTTTCAGAATTTCCAAGAAAAATCATGTTATGTTCGGTTCATGCGTATGTGCGATGATACCTTCTTATGTTCAATTCAGTCCGACATGTTCCGAGCTATTATCGTTCATTTAGTCGTTATTCAGTTCATCATGTTCAGTAAGTTCAGTTTTGTCGAGTAAAGTCGGAGTTTG